TATGCCTGTACTAACCCCGGTGTTCCCTGCCTCTGTCTCGGCAGCTACATCTGCACCTTTCGGTGCCTCAGATGTAGGTGGATGAGCAATCTCCTTTTCATAATACTCTGTACATGTCCATCTGCCTTTGCGGAATGGCTCAGAGTTTGTGTCTAGTTTGACCACCCTAAAACGAGAGCCAGCAGCTGTCTGAGTTTGAGTGTGCTGGGTTTGAATGTTGGGGGCAGCAGCAAACGGGCCTGTTCCTCCTCCAACAGAAGTTACTTGCCCACTCACACTTGTGTTATCCAAAGCAGTAGGCCCAGAAGGAGGAACTGCAGCAGCAGTGACAGCAGACACATTAGAAATGTTCACACTGCCTTGCTGATGTGGATCCGAGGCTGTCCCACCAACAGGAGCTGACAGCTGTGTTGTCCCACTTGCAAGTTTAGTGTTATCCAAAATCGGTGCCCTCTGTGACTGGCTAGGCCCGGCTTTGAATGCCACAGCTGGGCTGGAACTAGCCAAGGGAGTGATGGGAAGAGCAGCTCGTTCACCTCCTCCCAAGCTATCAGAGCGATGATGGTGCGACTGGCTGTGCTGTTGAGAATAATAATGATGATGATGCACAGTCCCATTTACCAGGGAAGTGGGCTGCTGAGACCCATGAGGGATAGAATGAGGGTGAAGAGGCTCATTGGGTGACACAAGTCCAGGTGTGTCGACACCATGGAGACTGTTCAATGTCTCATCAGAAGAGCTTCTCTCTGGCAAACCTGTATCAGTGGCCCGGGACACAGAAACATCCAGCATATCAGAGGAAGAGAGGTCTTCTGTATGTGACTCATCCATATCATCATAGCTCTCAGTGTCATCTGCTAAACTGTTGTTGCCGCTCACATTGATCTGAGCTGAAGTGACACTTGTTATCTGGAAGCCACTCTTCTTCTTCACTTGAGCTCCAATCACTTGGGACTGAGGCTGGTGGTGGAGTGCGGGAGAAGAGGATCCTGTCTGAGTTGGATTGTCGTCAACAGTGGTGACTCCACTGCTAACGTTACCGGCTCCAGAGGTGGCAGGCGCACCACTGCTACCCCACCTGTAGTGGAAAGCCCGGTCCCAGGCGGATCACCAGAAATGTCTTGCTGGTGCATCTTTACCGTTAAGGAATTAATTAAGGCTAATTAAAGTCTGTTTGTGGTACCTTCTAGCTAACACAGATGCTAGCTAGCTGGGTTAGCCGCAGGACCGCGATACTAACAAGCCATAAGTGAGAAGCAAGATGATTTATGTCCTAAAAGAATCAAATTAAATGTTCTGATAAGGAGTTAGACATAAATACTAGCTCATAAGCAGTATCCCTCTTCTTACCTGGAGTGTTAATCCAGCGTAAGAAAGATAAAACCCACCGTATTCAACGAAGCAAATAAAATAATGTAAAAAGCAGCTAGCCGGTGGTTAACGTTAGCTTAAAGCTGTGTTGGTTCGCAAGTAGCAATTAGCCACGCTCTTCTAGAACTTGGTGTACCTTTTCACTAACTTCGATCATGATGCGGACATTCGTATCACTACAATAAAGCACACGAAGATATATCTAGCCCTAAACAGTTTAGCTGCACCCAGGTGGTCTTCAAACTGAACGTGAAGGATTCCTAGATGGCCGGTGTGTGTCGCAGGAAAGCATTCGTCAGGTCTCTTCCACTCCTGGGCGTCGAGTCGCCTTTTTTCCAGGAACAAAAATGAGCTTGGCGAAAAATAAACCCCTCCTGTTGTCAACAGACAGTAACGGCTAAATAATATCCGTATGTGTATTGGTATAAATTGTTCGCGAAGACCATCTCAGGGTGTCTTAACGAATCCGCGTTTGCTGTATCATGCCGGTGAACAACAGCGAACGGGCTGACAGGGAGGGAGGAATGCAAACATTGCAACTGCGCATGCTCATGTGGCCCATTTCTTTTTGACAGGTGTTACGTTCATGCTCAACTGTTAATCGGAATTTCTAAAATACAAGTATATCAAGTTGACTTTTTTCTTTAAAAGACTGATTTGATCAGATATTGTTTTTTTTTTTTCAAACTGACAACATTTATTTATTTTAAATTATAATATCACAACGTTGAGCGTCTTCCAAAGTATGTGTTACACTATTTGAGCCCATAGTGAGAACTTCTGTTTTATAATATTTACCAAAACAATGACGGTAGCATGAGGCTGTTTTTATTTTTTTATTTTCTCATTTTTAAATGTTATTTATGTATTTATTTTGTAAACATTTTTTATGTACCTCACTGTTTAGTAAGCTTTATTAACTAAATTGTGCTGATTTGTATCTTTTAAGTCTGCAGACATCTAATATTTGCATATATACACAAATCCCAGAAATCCAGGTAAGACTGATTTTCCACAGAGGACACAGCACATGGCATTTTAGAACAGTTTCAAATTGACCTTAATTTAACCAAGGGCTGGAGGCTTTATACAATTTACTACACAAATCCCTCTCTACAGATCTTGCATAGCAACAGCCACTCAGACTTGGATGTGTGTTTGTTTTTTGCCTGTCTTCTGGCAAAAAATTCTGATGTTAACATATAAATGTTGGACAGCAGGTATAATTGATGTGTTGCCAGAGTTGAACGAAAAGAAATATCAGAGTTGAGACATGCCTGTCAGAGCACCTCCAACATGTCAGCATCACAACTATTCATAAACACAACACATCATATGCACCTGTAGGGGAGGGCAAGCTATGGGAAAGTTCCACTCTGGATTCTGATTTCAAACACTGTGTAATGTTGAATCCACAGAAGGCAAACAGGGAGATGTAAGCCATGCTTTTGTCATGTTTGCCCGGCGCCACCTACCTACCTCTCTCTCTCTCTCTCTCTCTCTCTCCCTGCAGGCTCTAGCTCCCTGACACCAGTTGAAGCCCATTCATTACCTGATCACAGTCGCTTCTACTTAAGGTACTGGCAGACGCTCCTCCGTCGCCAGTACATTGAGGAATATCTCCTATACGGTTTGGCTTCGCTAGTTAATGTACGATACTATGAAGCTTCTGAGAACTCCGTCCTCTCTCTGTTCCCCGAGTTCTTCAGCTGTCATCACTCTTATAAGCGCGAGCGTCACTTGCAGCGGCTTGCCTTCTTGGAGCCACGCCATCTCCACTCACATTCCCTGAGTCTCCGGCTACGCTCCTTCGCCCGGCCGAGCCAGTCTGTACGTGCTCCCAGCATTCAAATCCACACCGCTGCAGCTTTCATCCTCTCGACCTGCCTCCACTCCAGCTCGCCTGTCTCCGCAGAGCTTCAGCCGCTGTCACGGCGTCATCTGCCCTCAGCTCCCTCTTCTATTCACCACACACTCCATCTTCTCTGTTCCTGGTACCTCACTCTGCTCCGTGGGTTCCATCTATGTCGTCCCTCCACTCCGCCCGATCTTCACTCACCCAGTCCTCCCCTGTTGGACTTCACCATCTGAACCAACTGTTTCTTCTGATAACCTGTTGTCTCCATACAATAAAAACCTTGAGTTTTACTGTTGTGTCTGCCACCTGAGTTCAGCCTTGCTTGCTCACCTCGCACCTGAGAGTGAGCCACCATAACAGCTTTATGTAAACCTTCAGCCTGAACATCTATGTAGACTGTTCCTGGACGGCCTCAATATATGGCGATAAGGACTTTTGACAGTGTTTTACCTGGGTTTGAGACAGGACAGTTAGTTTTTTTTTTTAATAATTCAAATGTAAAAACAGTCGTCATCACAGGACAGTTTCCTCTTGTTCAATGGCGATTTAATTCTACATCAGGTAATTAAATAACCAACATAATCATATTGGAGCAATTGTTAATAAATGGCCAATAACAATGAAAAAACAATTTCTATATATGAAGTAGCATCACAATAAACCAAAGATTTTATAGATTTCTCATGTGAGAAAATCTTTTTATTACTGTTTTTAATCTGCAGCATATTTAAGGGTATATGTTAAGGTGTTGCTGTAATGTTGTCAAAAAACTAACAAACAAAATAACACTATATTTAGCATCCTGTATTAACGTGACATTGCAGCTGTCTATTATCCAAAATAGAGTAGATGGGAGTATTAACAGTAGTATGATGACAATCACTCCAGGTCCCTACAGGAACGTCAGAATTATCACAGAAAAAACAAAAACACAACAAGGAAAAATGACTAGCTCTGTCCAAGGTAAAACCTTTGTTGATCACATCATTATCACCTTACTCCACCTTCAAATCCTTTAACTTGCAAACACAGAAACATATAATACAATATGCTTAATATACATAATCTCCTCGTTAGTATAGTGGTGAGTATCCCCGCCTGTCACGCGGGAGACCGGGGTTCAATTCCCCGACGGGGAGTTCGCATTATTTTTTCCTTTTTGGAACAAAACCATTTTTGACTCAAACAGACCCTTTTCTTTCTAATTTGCCTTAAGGCCTATGGAATATTGATAATTTCAGGACAAGACTATATGGGATCACAACACAAATGCCCCATGTGAGGCTCACACACACAACCTTGAGAATTTATGTCTATTTAACATAACTAGAAATGAATAGTTGTCTGACACACATAAATGATCTTCTGGCTCGCTCTGAAATTGTGGCTTGGCTGTGACACATTTTTTTGGCACACTGCATATAAAAAGCCTTATATCACATACACATTATGCTACAAAATTAGCACAAAAATTGAGGAAAAGCATGTTGCATTGGCCGGGAATCGAACCCGGGCCTCCCGCGTGGCAGGCGAGAATTCTACCACTGAACCACCAATGCTCACGTTAACAAACTCTTTGTCAAATTCTAAAAAGTCTGTCGTACTTAAGAGGACGAAGATTGGCTTAATTAGAAATAAATAAATGATTACATTAATGCATAAATAAATACAAAAATAAATAAGTAAAGGAATAAATAATTAACTAAATGTATAATTAAAAGAACACAAAATAATTATATGCTAAAATAAATATAGAAATAAATAAATGCATTAATAAAAAGGAAAATAAATTAATAAATGCTAAAATAAATACATAAATAAATGCATAAATATAGAAATAAATGATTTAAATCTATTTTTAAATTGTTATATGTCTACATTTCTACAAATGTAGTTTTCTTTTATTTATTTTTGTATTTATTTCTGCATTTCTGTTCTACATTTCCACATTTATTTGTTTCTGTCTCTGTATGCTAATGAGGTGGGTGGCTCTAATCCCACCCTGAAGCAGGATTGGCTGCAGGAGATTGATCAATTAGGGTCTACTGCTTTCCCCTTGCTGACAGAGCTCCCTGGCTCACAGGTCTGACGCTGTTGGCTTTTTACAAAGCTGAACTTGTTGACATTTCTGTTTTTGTTTTGCTCCATTCGTCTATGAATGGCAGTTTTTTGCGAGAAGTTACAAATGATTTAAGATCATTAGCAAACGACTTAGACAACCATGCACTCAACGACTATCACCAGTTTCGTCTGGAAGGATTAATGGATGACTTGGCTCAGATAAATGCATATATTGATGTGGACGTTGATCCAGAAGTCTTAGACGGTCTTCATGAATCAACCCACCAACTTTACATCCTCTCAGAGATACATGAAGGACGTCCATCATACTTTTTACCCCCCAGTATAATTGAAGCTCACCTCCTCAGGGGGCACACGGTGCGGGACATAGCACAGCTGTTTGGAGTGTGTGAACGAACAGTTCGTCGGAGGATGGCCCAGTATGGGATAAGGTAAACGTACTACACATAGGCCTTATTGTTTAAATTTGTTTAGTCAGTGTTTTCCTTTTATTGTATTTATTCTTGTTTTTTTTATGACAACAGTAGCTATGTCTTATTGTTTGTAAGGCCGTTAGCTTGCATTCTGAAATCACGTTAGAAAGACGTGGCTATAAAAGTAATATTATATCACTTCGAATTTTCAGCCTGCTTTGAGCATCTAATGTTAATCAAACTTTTTGCTGACTGAACATGTTGGGATTTGGGTTACTTTCTGACTTACTCACAATGCGTTAAAAGAATCTGCTTTATTAAGTGCCAGACTGGATTTTGATCTAGTTGTGGATGTACTGCTAGATTAGTGATTAGTT